CTTAACTAACTTAACTAACTTAACTAACTTAACTAACTTAACTAACTAACTAACTAACGAACGAACTAACGAACGAACGAACTAACTAACGAACGAACTAACTAACGAACTAACTAACTAACTAACTAAATAAACTAAACTAACTAACTAACTAACTAAACTAGCTAACTAACTAACTAACTAACTAATTAACTAACTAACTAACTAACTAATTAACTAACTAACTAAACTAAACTAAACTAAACTAACCTAACCTAACTAACTAACTAACTAACTACCTAACCTGACCTAACCTAACCTAACCTAACCTTCCTTCCTACCTACCTACCTACTACTGAAAATAGAATGTGATCAGGAACATTGCATTTGTGAACCTGCCGAGTCTCCGAGTCTCCCCTAAATGGCCTGTCACCATGAAGTTGTGGGAATTAGGATCAGGTGTATTTTGAGGCGTCCACAGAAGACGGACCAACGGGTCTTTGGGGCTCTGGTGATCTTCTTTCATGAGCCATCGGGTGCTGCAAATTGCTGTGTGGGTGATGATTGAAGCCGACCTAACTGATATCTTCGCAGGTGATGTTCTTAAGAGAGCTGATTGCAAACTATAGCGTGTGGTGCTCAGGCTGCGATCGCCATTTCGTCAGGTCGCAGGGCCTGGCAAACCAGGGCGCTTATTCCAATGGACGTGGCCCCAAAAAGTGGGTTCAGGGACACAGGTTGATGAGTTCTCGAGTCGCTTACATCAGTGTGGGATGGTACATTCGATGGTTTGGAGCAACCAAATAATTTTTTGGCTAAGGAGATGCGTTTGCCCATCCTTCAGCGGTTGGCCGAGTGCATCGGTGATGTATCACAGTCGCGGGTCGGGTGGCCGAGAGAACTTCACAGAGGTCAGAAGTCAGTCAGTCAGCCCTCAATGCCGCATGCAAAGTGCTGCACCTGCTTTTAGTGCTTGCGAGATGTCTTTGGAAATGCGTTTCGAGATGTCCTTGAGATTTATTTCCTTTCAGGGCTTCTGTGATATGGAGCCTTTCCGTACCTTTGTCATGGCCCGTGGCCCTTCTGGTGGAAGAGAAATATAAGCTTCATGTGGGTTCGTGTGTGCCGTATCCAAGGGTTTCACCCGATATCAGATCTTTATCCAGCAGGGGGATGCCGGGGATTTCCATGGTCGGCACCCAACGAAGACACCATGGATTTCCTGTGATATGAGTCAAGGACGCTTGACTCACGTACCCGCTTTTTGTGGCGTTATCAAGCTGTTCACCCCACGTTTCCGTAAAGGTCTAATGCAGCCGCCGTGTCGCCTCTTGTTGCCGCTGGTGTTCAATTTTTTAAATACTACGCTGACCTTTCACCTTACCGTTCCATCGAGTCAAGGGCCTTGCACCGCGGACCACCTTTTGGATTATCGTTCGGAATGAAACTCTATCGAAGTGTGTGTGCACAGTGTGTGTGTGTGTGTGTTGGTCTTGTTGGGTTTTTAAGCCTTTTGCTCGAGCAGGTTTTGCGTGGCTGCCTTTGGCTTTTCGGTGAATACTGTGAGGATGAGGCTGCCGGGTTTTCTCTGGAAGGATCCATCAACTCAATCAAATTTGTGTCTTGATTCGATCTGACAGTGACTCCTAAACTGGCTGTAGCTGGTCTTCGCATGTTTCTTCATGTCAGTCCGCTTTGGGACACCCAGCCACCCCACCACTGCACCGATGATGCCTGCACCAAGCCAGGCGCTGATTGAGAGCGTGATCCAGGCGGTCTTGACTTCGCTGAGGCTCCCGGCTTCCCATGGGCAGGCTGATCTTTCGACGGCTGCACAGATCGCTCAATGGCAGTGGCTCCAAAATGCTCAGACACCTGTGAATTTTAGTCATGGGGATTTAGATGGTACCCTATGGTACCCTACTGTTGACACTACTATCTTGTCGAGCCATAGATAGCCATATGCATTTGACAGAGACTGACCTGCTGGAGTTCTGAGTTGGGGCGCTCAAGGTGCTTTGATTTGTTCAGTGGACCACTCAAACACGCATTGCAGCAAAGAGCTGACATGGAACGCTTGGTGTTGATGCGATCTTCAAGCTTTCATGGGCTTTTGAGTGCACTTCAAGCTATATAGCCCCGATGTGCAATGCTTTCTGTGTTGCAACCCTTTGCTGTTTGTAGTATACACAGTTCTGTTGAGTAGACCTTGAGTACCTTTTCTCATGGATTAGATCATCCTCTTGCATGCTTTTAGCATTCATTATTCTTGTACTCTTTTCATTTTCACCCTACCTCGCATACCCAGTACAACACTAGGGGTGATGAGGCGAGGTTGGATGGTCAGTCGTGTAAGTGTGGGAAGATGTTCTATTTTTCCCGGTTCCTGAAGAAAATCCAAGCTAACCACGGGGTTGCTTTTATGTTTCGGCGGATGACCGCCAGGGTGGGGTACTAAACTAGGTCTTTGACCATTTCACAGGGGTCTTTCCCCAAAAGAGGTTGGGTAAACGAGCAGCACTAGCTGGGCTTTCACCCACCTCTTTTTCCCTCTCAGGATGTCACACAGGTTGTGCGCATTTGGGGTGTGTGTGTGTGCGCGCGCGCACGCGCGCAGGCCGCTGCCTTTAGTCACAGAAGATGGGTCTCAGAAAGAGAAGAAAGAGGGCGCAGGTGGCGAGAAGAAGAAGGAGACGGACGTGACACCGGTGACGCGGTTGAGACAAGAGCAGAGTGTTTATGTAGATCCTACGCAAGACACAAGCAAGTTTATGCAGTTATGAGTAACAGGGCAAGTCCCAAGCAAGTGGACGTCCAGAACCATGTTATGTGTGTGTGCGTGTGTGACCGTTGATTCTTTGTTTCTTCGCTACTCGTGTGCCCAACAGCATTTTCGACATTTGGTGCCAACAGAGGCTCTGTGCAACCTCAACATTCTGCGCCTGACACAAAGTCTAATAGACAGTGCGTTCCCCAATTTAGCTGTTCTTTGGCCATTGTCAGTCATTGTCATTGCGTCGTTGGCCGAAGAATGGCTGCCTTTTTGCTCTCTTTTGAACGGCGAACCGGTGAAGGGGTGCTTTCTTTTTCCGATCGTCCAGCGGGGATTGAGAACGGGTGCCCTGTTCTTCCCCGGAAACGGCCCGACCGACTCGCTGCGAGCGAGAGGAAAAGAAGGCACCCAAGATCACCACGAAGACAGTGGTGCTCGCGGATGGTACCTATGGCCACTTGGTTTTCCGTGTTGGTCGGGGCGTTTTGGTAGCAGATTCAGATGTTGAAGTAACGCATTTGCTGTACAAAGTGTGGTCAGCTTTGGTAGATTTTGAGTGAGATGCAAAAGGTTGTGGTTCACATGAAACATGGCCCTTTCACATCTTTCACTTTTTTCGTTTGACCTCAAAAGGTGACAGGCACTGATTGGTAAGATAGATTCCAGCATTGCAAGTGATCATACATCAAGGGTCCCAGCTCTTTCCTTGTGTGATGTCGAATGGCCACTGGAAATCTGAAATGCATTGATCCAAATTATACAGACAAACTGAGGCACCCAGAACGTCTACGAAGGAGAAGAAGGAGTGCAAACAGCGGCAAACAATTCTTGAATGACAAGCTCCGCCAAGTGCGAACTGGTTCTGCGCCTTTAACAGACCCATAGATTCCATAGATCAATATGAGTGCCACGCTTCATCCAAACAAACATTTCAAGTCGTCGACATTCTTGGCTTGGAGCATGTGCAGGCTGACACAAACTCACTAAACCCTTGGGCTTCCAACCACCATTGATTTAATGGTTTTCACCGAACATCCATCATTTACTGGGATTTTATTGGGTTCAGCCAGGATCTGGGAACACAACGCATGCTCCTCTGCAAGCCCTTTCTCCCAGCAGCATTTGTGCGGAGACGTTCCAGCGGCGAGGCGAAGAGGAGGAAGTGGCCGAGGAGAAGGGCAAGGCCGACGTCAAGAAGACAGCCTTCCGGACTCTTCTGCTAGGTGCGCAGGGAAAACATTGAAGGAAGGGAATTGGATTCTTCACCAGATAGCGAGCGCTTCGAAGCTTGGGTTGGCGCCGCTGCAGAGTGCTGCTCCGCGGCTGTGGCAAGATGTCCATGGCCGTGTGTGCTTTGGAGCATGGGTGCTGGAGGGTGCTGCTACAAAGATCTTGTGCTATTTGGGGTCTAGGCTGGCATAATTTTAAGGGTCAGGGAATCTGTTGAACTGAACTGCTTTCCAAAATTACAAGATGAGATGCGCACATCAAATCATCAAATCCGTGGCATCGGCTTTCTTCTTCAACTTGTCAACCACTGAACGCGGCCGACCTCCATGCCGGTCCTCGCGATGGAGGCGGTGATTTCCTACTCTCGGCGATGGTTGGAGTGTCTCGGCGACGGTTTTTTTTTGGCGGCGATGATCGTCGACCCAGTTCAGGGACCCACGGGACGTTGGACCTCCGGCACCCCTTCACTGGATGGGCCTCTCTTTTGGGGGAGATGGAGGAGATCAAGTGTGTTCTGTGTGTTTCGTTCTGAACGTTTGCGGACTTCGTTTTCAAGTTCTGCGCTGACAGTGCGCGTTGATGTTCGTGGCCGAGGTTTCATTGACAAAGCTTTGTATGAAGCTGAAGAACCTGCCGGTGGCCTTGCGAAACGAGGCGCCCTCTTTTTGGCATGACCGTTGAAAACAGGAACAAACGGCCCTCGCCACGTCCTTGGGCTGGGGATGCACCCAACCGGTCTTGGCGTGGTTCACTCCGAACGATCTCATTGGAGCGATCAAGGCTCAGATCGGACATTTTACAGTTTCACGTCACGCACATGCTTTTCATACCATGTCGCGCATCTCAGTGGTCAGTTTGATCGGTGCTTCCTGGATTGCCAAGCGGCCCAGAAACGTGGACGGCTCCCCCCCCAAATCCGCCGAGCGCCAGGGTCCGGGTCATGGTGCTCGCGTTTTCTCCGGTTCCGCCCCTCATTGGCCAATCATCGGGTTGCATGCAGGTGTTGCTCGTGATTGTCAACATCCTCAAGCTAGTGAAGCAACATGTTTGTGGTCGGGACCCTCGGTGTAAAGAGCCCAGCCAGAGCTCGTCTCTGGGAGAAAAGAGCTCAGCCAAGCTGACCAATGGAGATTCTTCTCAGCGGTTGGGGATGAAACGCTCATCATGTTTGCGCGTTGTTGGACTTGAATTTGGTGAGTTGACCGTGGACATGATCCGAAGAAGAATTCTTGAGAGTCTTCGTGGATGTGTCGACATGCTACATG